ACCAATTCCTAGTATTTTGCATTCATAAAATCCATAGTCTGAAAGAAGAAAAAATTAAAAATACCCTCCGTCTGGATTTCACCAACTCCGGACATAAGCACAGCAGATGGATGACCGTTTCCTCCTTCTCTTCTTCAAAACAATTCCTACAGAGCTAATACATGTTCGCCTGTCAGACAGTGTCCGGTTAGAAATATATCTCCAATACCGAGCCGAAACCCTCTCTTCGAAGAAATCACATCCCTTGTGCGATGCGAACTTAGCTTTGGCCAGAATTTCATTATCGCGTTGGATATGTTTCCATTTACCCATCTAAAGATCAAATGCTGCATTGATCAACAGGAGCCTGTGGGGTTTAGAGGCATCCCTAGATTCTTTTTATCAGGAAGAATTGAGAGAATGGTTTCATGTCTCGCAAGGTTGCCCTCCTTACATTTCCCGGAACTGCACTGTGTCCCGGGGACCAAAATTAAGTTTAATTCTATTTCCTATTGAATAATTTTTGTTTCCATAGTTGAATATCAAACTTCATCCTAACTCTATAACTACTTTGTCAAGAATTGAGTTAAACCCTAAATATAATAATTAACGCGCAAAAAAAAATGTTATGGCAATACATGGCAAGGCAATATAAAAATTTTACTTAGATAGTCAACTGGAGAATAATAACTTTGTATTCTTAACACACACACACGTACACACAGAAGTACGTTAAAATAAAATGAAGTTTAAGTGTAAAATCTAACTGTTTTTTTTTTGATATGTATAAATAAAATTAAAATTTCATATTTTGCATACTAATAATAAACTTAAAACGAGATAGAGAACTATTATAAATAAAAAACTGTAAAAAAATGAAAATAATAAAAACAAAATTACCGGAACACGAAAAATTAATTTTATTTCCGGGACTTTATTTTCAATTCGTTTTATTTCTCCTCTCTTCACTTTTACAATAATAATAATAAACCGAAATTTGTTTTTATAATAAGCTAAGCGCATTTCCTCTTCAAATTAAATGATTGCTAGTTACAATTATTATGACAGAAATACCCCCGATACTTAACTTGTATACAATATGTGTTATGTATGTATTTATGTATGCAAGTGTGTTTGCTGGAAAATTGAACATTAAAAAAAAAAATTATAATAGAATTTTGAGCGTGTGACCTGTTTATTTTATTGTTACTTTCATTGTTTGTTGTTTTTCTTTAAATAATGGTATATTGTCTATAGCCGAAACTTTCAAAAACACTTCAGAACTAAGTGTACAACTTATAAAACTTTGTTTAGTGACATTCTCATGTACTTATGTATATACCTGAGTATGTGCTCTTTTAATGTATTCTTGTACAGGAAAATTATACAGGTGCAATTGAAAATTTCATTATTAATATGTGAGTTGAATATTTAAATAAGGAATAAATAAATAATTTTTTTTGTACATAAAATCTAGAGTCCCATTTGTATTGTATTAGTTTGTTAAGAATATTAATATATAGGTTTATAGTATGGTATGAAAGAGATTTAGTGACAATATGGTATGTCATATTTGTATATAATATAATGACAGAATTGTATGGGAACGTTAAAGAGTCACCAATTTTATATGAAATAATTGCAATAAAATCAAGATGGTAACAAAAAGTTAGCAATCTACATGACATACCGCACTTTTTATATTGGAAATCGGAAGTTTTTATAGAATTTTACAGTAGAGCCTTTTAAAGATCCTTGTTTTTCTTTCTTCTTTCATTCGTCGAAAGGAAATTTTTGGTCTTTTTTAGAAATTAACATATTTATTTTGTAAAGCACAAGAGAATGACATTTTTGGTTTGGACTATGAATATATTGAGACGAGGTATTTTATGGAATTCTGAATTTTCGAAAAGTAAATGCTGAAAGCATTTCAATTTCAAGTCCAAATTTTAGTTTGAGTATTATTTTGAGTTACAAAATAAGAAATGGCTGGTAAGGGTGTTGTGTATACAAGTCAATTAATTTGTACCAAAAACTCAAGACAAATTTTGAAATTTGCAATTACATGTTTACACTTTGACAGTTTAGAAAATTCAAATTTCGTTATGTAAATTTAATTTATATATGAGATGAAGTTTTTAAAAGATTTCCGTATTTTTGTAGTCAAAAGTCATAATAACAAAAAGTTTTTGAAAATTTCGGATTCTATTAAAAACTGATTAATTTTTTTTTTCCGATTTTTTGACAAAAAAAAAGCAAATTTTCAACCGAATTTCAATAATTTTCTTTTTAGATTTTGATTTTTTGTTATTTTTTTTTTGTGTTTTGTATTTGTTTTTCGGTTGCATATGCTACAAGGTACCTGGAATCGTGATGTTTTATCAATTCACGTTTAAAATTAAAATTTGTGTTTTTTTCGTTTTTTTTTTTTTGTTTTTTGTGAACAAGAAAAATTTTAGTATTAACTATGTGACGGTACCTTTAGAGTTGCCTTTTTTTTTTTTTGTTCGTTTGTGATATGCCATAAGTCAGGAGGAAGATTGGTTGGTTGTTGATCTAAAAGAACTTTTGTTAGATTATTTTTTTTTTTTGTGTTTTGTTTTCTTAATTTTTTGTTGTTATAAGGTCGAAAATGAATGTTATAACAACTGTTAAAAACATGTTTCGTGCTGTAAAAAGAGAAATAATTTTTTTAACTTTTGATTTACACGTTAAATTATTATTATTGGTTGTTATCTTTGGTTGTTATTTTTTGGTTTTACACCGGGTGACAATTTCATAAATTGTTTTTGTTGTAAAATAATTTTAGTTGGTATAAATTCGAAATTAAAAGGATTACTTATTATAATTTGTGATCTTTTTCTCGTGTTTTTGTAATTGTTTTTAAGCAAAAAGTTTCATTGAAAAAGAAAAAAAGTTAAATTAATTTCAGGACTAAAATATAACAGCACTTTATTATTGTTTAAATTTAAAGAGCCGAACCAAAACTGATCGTCACTTTGTATTGGACGCCGGCATGTGTGCTAGCCAAACGGAGTCTAGTTTCTTTTTTATTGGTACGGAACACTTTTATAGAGTTTTATACACTTTTTACAAGGGACCAAGCATGATCCAAGGAGCAAGCAGGAAGTGAAAGAGAAAATATGGAAAATATGTTTGCAGGAAGCAAAGAAGAACCTTTTGGTAAATAGATTCACACAATAGACTAATTCTAGGAGGTCGTTCTCTCGAATTCTTCATATAAAATCTTGTGTTTTTTCATTACATCAATATTTTAATAAAATTTTTTAATAGTAAAATTTAATTAAAAATTTTAAATGAAGACGCAAACCAATCAAAATGTAATTTTGCGAATAATTTTCAAATTTTTATTTCATCTAATTTTTTTTGGAATGCAACTAATTCGATCCTACATACATACGTAGTCATGTATAATACATTTAGTAAGGATTCAAACCTTTAAAAAAAAAAAAAAATAAAGTTTTTTTCCCTTCTTTCTTTGGGGTATAAGCTCGTATTACGTGATATGTTTTTTAAAATGATCGTGTATCAAATGAATTATATATTTGTTATATAAAAATTATGGTATTGATTATTAGTAAATAAAAAAAAAGGAAAACAAAATAAAAAAATACTGAGAATAAAAATTGTTTACCAATTGAATTCAACTTTATCTAGTGATGCACCGCATTAATATAGGTCACACCATAAATATTTATTTGTATATAAAGAAGTTAAGAAAAGAAAAAATTTATAAGAAAATCTCTAAGTTTTATATATTTGTGTAGGTTTACATACAATTTTCTTATATTTTTTGTTTTCTTTTAGATAATAAAATGTCACATACTATAATCAAGGATACTAAATTTATTTATTTGGTATTTTATACTATTTTGTATTTTGATCACGATACAGGATAATTTATTTTACATATCCCCATATACAAGTTTTGTACTGCTTCTGTTTTTCTATTTTAGAATACGTGATGTAATCACACAACGCATTTTGTAAATATATTTGTATGAAATATTTATAAAAATAATAATATTATGGTATTTGTGTATATTTATAAGAATAGAGAGCAAGAAAAACTCTTTTTTACCGACCGTATTGTGTAAACAATAGGTAGGTTATGTGATGGCAACAAATTTTGCATATCGAGTTTTCGGTGGGAACGTACTTCTCCATAGTAGAGAAGTGTAAATAAACTATTTTTAGCAACCTGTCGGTCTGTCGGTCTGTCGGTGTGTGCACGCGTGTATCTCAAGTTCGGCTGAACCGATTTTGATGAAATTTTATATGTAAGTTTGTTTCCACCATGGCACGGATCGATCAACTTTTGGTATATATCAGGCGTCGGGAACTGCACTTTTTAGCGGGCCTGTTTTACATTTTTGAACATTTTGAAGAAAGTATTCAACCGATTTACTTGAAATTTCATATATAAGCTTTGCTCGATCATACGCAAAAATTCCTAACTTTTGGAAGAAATCAGACATCAGCAACTGGGCGTTTACTACGGGCCAAATATACATTTTTGTGTATATAAAGAGAAATAATCAACCGATTTCATTGAAATTTAATATATGAATTCCTCATATTAAAGCAAAGAACATATAACTTTTTTGGAAAGATCAGGGCTCGAGAACTGATTCGCGGGCCGATTTTACATTTTTCACCATATCCACAGAACAAATTGATGGAATTTCTTGAAATTTGATATTTGAGTTCTGGTTGTTACCGAAACTAACTGGCGAGCATTTCAGGGAATTCGGGTAGCACAAAGAGAAACTCTACTAAGAGCCAAATTCACATTTTTCTAAGTATGTTAAATAAGCTTACAAATGTCCTAAAAATTGGAAAGAAGTATTTAACAGATATTTTTATAATATTCTGTAACACTTTCATTTAACTAGACAATACACAATGCGGTCGGTTATGTGCTGACCACATCAGATTTTTTTTTTTGCATTCTCTCTAATTTTTAATAAAAGATAACAAAAAAAAAAACTGACACTCACCTTTCATCTTGCAGGAATTGTATTATATATGATTGCAATTGTGACATCTTTGAATTTAGTTCGGGAAAAAGAAGAAAGATTCCTGTAAATATGAAAAAAAAATAAAATAAAAACATATTTTTAAGCAAAATTTAGAAAAAAATAACAATTATTTTTTCAAAAAACAAATAATGAAGGCAAGTTTCGAAATTTTAATCAGTTTTGTGGTTAATTAATTTTAATTTGTCCCGAGACCATAAAACAGAGAGGCCATGGCTTATTATATACTGTATAACACAAACTGTACAAATTATTCTCTTTATAATAGAAAAGAAATTTTTAGTATTTTAGCAATTTTAATTTTTGAAAGACTATCGGCAACAACAATCAGATTATTGCAATAATTACAATTAAATATTTTGCTGGCCAATAATTTAATTTTAACATATTGACATAAAAAATAACAATAAACGAAAATTGATGCAAAAAGTCAAATTATTAATTTTCAAATAAGTAGGGTTTCATTTACTACCTTTTGTTATCTTTAAATTGCCATTAAGTTTCCTATTGATGAAGATGAATTTGAATTGTAGAAAATGTCAAAACGTTATGTAGATGGCGCCCATTTGCTGCAACACTGTTTTTTTTTTTCAACTCGAAAAACGAATAATAACGACGCTACCTGCCGACAGTGGGGAAGCGTGACTCCTACTTTAAAAAATCAATTAAACTCTGAAAGATAGTTCTAAAGACCAACCATTACTCTACGCTAACTTAGTTTTTCCGTTCAGGAATTAAATACCTTCAAATAAGAAATTGCTATTTTGTGTTAAATCGAAAGACCTTATTCGTTTAAGCCATTTTGTCATAATGCCATTGTTTAGCAGCCGAGATATTTCTATATTTACATGTTGTTCTAGATGAGCCCTATGCTTTGTAGCACAACTCCTAATTTCATCTACAGTCAAAGGAATTCCTAAGTTTCTGTGGACGTCACTGTTACGTTTACACTGAAGAATTCTATTAGAAATACGAAGAAGAAATTTGTTTAAATTATGAAGATACTAAATATCATTGATCTTCCAAATTACGAAGTCATATAAATTTTAAAATATTTTTAACATAATTATGCAGCTTCTACTATAGTGACATTAAACAATTCTACGTAAACTCAATAATTATTACTGAATTGTATATAGAGCAATACAATGTAATGTTCATTAATATATAATTTTATTGGAAATAAAATTTAATATTACTGTAAAATTACAGGAAATAGGAGTAAAATAACAAACCAATATAAAATTTATTATGTTGTTATACAAATAAAATTTATACAGAAATGCCCCATGAAAAATGCCAATTTTCTGTTTTAGATCGCAGATTTCTATAGGTGCATTTTGTATAGAATTTTTATCTCTTGGAATTAATTCAAATATATTTTTTTATCTATAAAATGTTGAATAATAATTAATTAAACTATAAGCATAAAAAAAAAATTTTTTTTTTTTGATTTAATCAGTAAAAAGTAAAAAACTATGTTGTATTAATTGTAAGTATAGGTATGTAAGTATGATAAGAAAAAAAAAAAAGAAATTTTCAAACTAATCTTAATTCTAAATGGCGAGTAAACGATGACACTATCATAAAAATGCATTTTACATTTTAAAAATTTCAACTTTTTTTTCTTTTTTCTATTTTTTTGTTTTATTTTTTACTATGTAGCATACTACGTAGCATAGCAGCATAGTTTTACAATTATATTTTTGCTTTTATTTATTTTTTTTTTGTTGTTTTTTCATATACTCGTACGTAAAGTGTTGCATTTGGTGTGTTTGATTTTATAAATTGTAAATTTTTTACACGTAACTAAAATATAAGTAAAATTAATTGTTATTACAACGTTAATTAATTGTTGTTTTCTTTTTATTTTTGTTTTTTTTTTTCGTTTACAGGTAAGCAATTTTAATTTTTCAATTGTAATTCTATATTGATATCCGAATTGAATACCTTGGTATGGTAAGATTTTAAATTTTAATTAAAAATATTAATAAAATTGTTGTTTAGTATATGTCGAATAATGATTTCTACATTTACGATATTGACTATAATTTGATCTTTAAGGGTTTGTTATTAATTTATACTGTGATTTCTAATAAATAAAAGTACTTAGTTCTCCAAATCTCGGAAAAAATTAATTTTTTCACTCATTGTAATTGCTTCCTTTACATAGTAAAATGTTTACATTCAAAGATTGGTAGTGTTCTGGGTAACATTGCATAGTTCCCTATTAATATGAACATGGTGACGAACACGGTGAATTACTTATGAAACTGGCGATGAATTATGACCCATTATTTCGTTAACGCCTGATTTGATTCTACGGTAACTTTTGTAGACCTTTCCAAGTTTTTTTCAATATATTACTCCTAAAAATATTGCCGGATTTCCGAAAGAAGTTCAATGGGTCTGTTTCGGAAATTTAATATTAGGAGGAGGGAAGCGGGGTGATCTCCGAATATTTGTCTTGATGGAATTATGGAGTTTATCAAGTCTTTTTCAATGATATTATACCATATTTGAATATTCTTTGATAGAAGTGTTAGAATTCTTTAGAGCCGTCCTCGGAATTACACTTCTTATACGAATTTAATAAAGTTGATTATTTTTTGGAAATTTTTGAATTTTGATTACAAAGATTGATGTTGGTGCTCCGACTTTTAGGTTGATTATTCACAGTATTGACAATAATTACTGTCAATATTTTATTTATTTTTATATTATTTACTATTAAACAAAAAAAATATAAATTAACCTGTTGCATAAAGGTATACCGAGGGAGTAGTTTTTTTTTATTGCACAATTCATCAGGTGTGTTTATTTTTTAAATAAAAATTTTGAGATTTACGAAAAAATCACGATTTTTTATTTTCCAATAATTTTCATTTTTGTTTTGTTTAATTTCACATAATTTCGCAAATTATAAATTTATTCGAACATGGTAATAATACTAGAGAAAAACAAATATATTACACACAGTAGTTAATACTGTTTTCTTTTTTCTATTTTATTTTGAATATATTCAACTCGGAATTAAAATTGAAGGTGTCATAAAGATCAATACCATAAATAATAAATTTCTTGTTCGCATTTTTTAGCTTTAATATCAGTGGGGGTTCCATTCAGTTTTCAAAAATTAAAAGAAAGGCTAATACAAAAAATCTGATGTGGTCAGCACATAACCGACCGCATTGTGTATTGTCTAGTTAAATGAAAGTGTTACAGAATATTATAAAAATGTCTGTTAAATACTTCTTTCCAATTTTTAGGACATTAGTAAGCTTATAGTTAACATACTTAGAAAAATGTAAATTTGGCTCTTAGTAGAGTTTCGCTTTGTGCTACCCGAATTCCCTGAAATGCTCGCCAGTTAGTTTCGGTAACAACCAGAACTCAAATATCAAATTTCAAGAAATTCCATCAATTTGTTCTGTGGATATGGTGAAAAATGTAAAATCGGCCCGCAAATCAGTTCTGGAGCCCTGATCTTTCCAAAAAAGTTATATGTTCATTGCTTTAATATGAGGAATTCATATATTAAATTTCAATAAAATCGGTTGATTATTTCTCTTTATATACACAAAAGTGTATGTTTGGCCCGTAGTAAACGTCTAGTTGCTGATGCCTGACCTTTCCAAAAAATTTACATGTTCATTGTTTTAATACGAGGAGTTCATATATTAAATTTCAATAAAATCGGTTGATTATTTCTCTTTATATACACAAAAATGTATATTTGGCCCGTAGTAAACGTCTAGTTGCCGATGCCTGATTTCTTCCAAGACATACGAATTTTTGCGGACGGTCGAGCTGAGCTTATATATAAAATTTCAAGTAAATCGGTTGAATATTTTCTTCAAAATGTTCAAAAATGTAAAACAGGCCCGCTAAAAAGTGCAGTTCCGGAGGCCTGATATATACCAAAAGTTGATCGATCCGTGCCATGATGGAAACAAACTTACATATAAAATTTCGTCAAAATCGGTTCAGCCGAACTTGAGATACACGCGTGCACACACAGACCGACAGACCGACAGGTTGCTAAAAATAGTTTATTTACACTTCCCTACTATGGAGAAGTACGTTCCCACCGAAAACTCGATATGCAAAATTTGTGTTTACACAATACGGTCGGTAAAAAGTATTGAAGGAATTTCACATTCTTATATTAAGCTATAAATCGCGTAAATCAAATATTACTGACATCAAAATAAACTAGATTTTATCCTCTAATATTTATGATAATTTTTATAAAAAATATTGTTTTTTAATTTTTAACTTCAGGAGAATTTTATTATCTAATAACTGATAAATTGATTTAAATTATTATAGACTAGAAAAATTCAATGTTAACTCAAGTTTTCATTTTTTAAGACACCTTCCGTTTAGGATCACTGGAATCCTGCATTATAAATTTTGAAAACAATCTTTGAAAGAAAATTTTTTTTAAATACGTAAACTCCTAAAATTAGTCAAACTGACTAAGCATTAGTTTTGTTATATCATGTTTTTGTGTCTACATTGTGAGAAGGAAGGCACGGAAGGGCTGTTTCGGTCGTTTCAATTTTTCTGTCCTCCCCTATCAGTCGAAATGCCTCAATATTAATGTGCTATTCCAAACGCGCAATATGTTTCATCCACAGTTCCTCATTTCAGCACTTATTTGGGTGTCACCACAAATCCCTATGAATGTAATATCAGATTGCACTTACCGTATTACGAAGAACTTTGCTCTGGAAAGTTTGTATTTGTTTGATGTATGTTTGCTTGGCGCAACCTTCATTACTTGGTTATATACCCAAACTTTATTGTGTGCTGCCAATATAGATCTACAGTATTGCCAATATACTTTTCTCTATATTTGTTTTCTAATTCGATTCTTTTCTTCTTGACATGTTATTTTCATTTGAGTTTGACAAACAAATACATAGCCAGGTATTTCGCTGATAGTCAAGCATCGTATTTTGGCTTGATATTCCAGCATCATTCAAACTCAATTATCTTGGTGGGCTTACTAAATTTTCGTTTCTGAAATTTATATGT